ACGGGTTCAAGTTTTGTTTTGAAAGTCCGCACGACGACGAGGACGACGAAGGAAGCAACCAAGGAGAGAAAGACACCGCACTGTAATATGAATGAATGAAATGCTAAAAAACGAGGAACCTGGTGGAGCTTCCGTTCCCAGGCGGCAGTTACACTAGACTGACTGACTGGGGAAGAAAGGGGAGAAAGCACCAGCAGCCGAGCGAGCAGTGTGGTCGCACAATTCGGTCTTTTCCCATCGTCGTCAGCCAGCCAACGCAACTATCCATCCATGCATTCCACTGCTTCCCCCGCCTGCCTGCTTCCTCAGTATTCTACCCGCTACACAACAGACCGAATGTAGTAGCAGCAGCAGCAGAGGAAAGCCAAACCAACCAACCAACCTGGGAGACGAAGAGGAGTTTCACGAGGAGTTTCATGTAATTCCTACCCGAAAATCCGAAACCATGAAAAACCGAGTCGGGCATCCAGTTTCACATTGAAGTAAAACTACGACCATTTTAGTGCACAGTAACCAACTAATGAGTCCCCTTATCTGTTAGATTTCGGACTGATAGATTAACCATTTGAGAGATAGGAGAGAAATGTACACAATCCGACGCATATTTACATTCGGTTTGGTGAAATGAAATGGAATCACAGTGCGATGAGTACGGTTTCCCCTTGTTCGGACGGATGTAAGCTGTGGTGGAGTCGTTTCAGATCTAATGTCCAATCAAACTCAGCTTCAATGTGCAGAAATGAAGCGAGCATGGAGAGGTTTGTCAACTCTGCGGTGTGCAGAAAATTAGGCCGAATGAGCGACTGAATGGTGTGCGAGTCACCTATTTGTTTCTGCGGAGCAAATCGAATAAGCATTATGTAGATGTTTCCATTATTCCTTCAATTTTAATCGGGGCACCGGACAACGCAAACTTTTGGACCAACTGGATGCATGTACATCCATTTGTATGTATACAGGAAGCACCAAACCCACAAATGAAATATAAATTTATCTCGGGCAGCATATTACTTCAAAGTCTACGCGTTCCCAAGTAAAACGAGTTTCAGTAAAATTCGGTTGGTTGGTGCGTTGCATAATCTTCTCGTATCTCCCTATTCTGCATGCTTGCTCTGTGAAAGAAACGGAGGGGACACGGATTTAAGTCTGCCCTCGGACTCTCCTTCTGCTGCTTTTCATACTTTTCAAACTGGGGAATAATTTCTGAATAGAAAACCAGGCATGCATACATGCACATGTGTATGGCTTATATACGGAGGAAGGGTGCAAAACGTGTAGTTGCACGAGCTGAATCAGTTTTCACTTTTATTTGACTCTTCTACCACGATGTGTACAATGCATATTCTGATATATAAATATGAATTAAGTAGTATTGCCTAACCCCTTTGAACGATGGAAAGTTTATGCCCGTTTTAAGCATCCACTATTTCTGTTACGATGAAGAAAAAGTATTTATATTGCTATGAAAGCACTGCCCTTCATCTGTACATCTGCGTTGGGGTTGGTGTTATGTACATGATTTTCGTACCCCAGCCTCACCATTTACATTGAACCCCTCTCACAATTCATTAAACGGCAAAGTGTACCCAGTTAACAGAGCCGAAGACAAGTTTAAATCTGAAACATGGCATGTGCATGAACTCCCAACAAACAACTGAGGGTTGGGCTCATTTACTTTATAGGATTTGCTGCGGCTCAGATTCACTGTTTTGTTGCTGGGTGCTGGCAAATGGTCATGAAAGCACATTTATTAAGTAGCGTCAGCTACTTATTGTGATCGTTTTGTCCGTCCGTCCGTCTGTCCGTCCGTCCGTAAGCAGGATATCTCCAGAACGAGTCAACATAATCAAACTCCGTTTTCGCCATTATGTTTCTAATTTTTAGTTCTCGGCCGAGTTCGAAAATGGGGTCAATCGGACCACACCCCACTGCGACAGGGGGTGTGGTCGAAATTAAATTGGACGTTAATTTTCATGTGGGGTGTCATTTTAAAGGAAATTTGACGGAGATTTCAAATATGTTAATAGTTTTGACCTCATGACCTTGACGACGAGGTCAAAGGTCAAAAAATGCATAATTGTCATATGGGGTGTCATTTTAAAGGAAATTTGACGGCGATTTCAAGGACGTTAATATTTTTGACCTCATGACCTTGAGATCAAGGTCAAGGGTCAAGGGTCAAGGGTCAATACATAATTGTCATGGGATATGGGATAATTTTAAAGGAAACTTGGATCACCCTGACGCTACTTTTTTATATTCGTTTGGAGGGTTTATTTCGGTTGATTCCCACTTTTTAAGGCCAAGAGGAGCCTTAATACATTACCGGCCCTGCTGTTTGCTCTGAGCTAAACAAGGGTTTAAAAGGATCAGCTTTTTAGGAGCTACTGCTTGCATCTACCAATTGTAACTGTATATGTCTGTTGTGTGTGTCTGTTGTGTGTGCTCATTTTCCACACAATAATGGAAGCACCAAAGATATTATCGTGGTACTAAATCGGATATAATGTGCAAATCTGCACTTCAAAATCAGGCACTTTGTTTGGCAAATTCGGGGATTTTCTCTGGATTCAATTATTTTATCCATTTTATTTGCAAAAACATTGCAATTGTTTGCATACTGGTGTGGTTTTCATTTTGTAAATAAACGAGAGTTCTGTATCAACGATTTAGCAACCAGAGACTACTTTTGGTTTTAAAGACATTGGGTTCTTAAGAAATTTTGTAAGACAGAAAATTCTTTCAACAGCCAACCGCTAAAGGAAAACAGCCTCCTCACGAGGGCATAAAATGGATGGCAGAATAATGTAAAAACAAATGATGCTCTATTTATTTATTTATCGATCATTGTGCTTTTATTCATTCAATTTAAGGCAAAGCTGTTTGAAAGGTTTTGACTCAGCATTGTGCAACAAATTAACAATTTCTCCAAGCTTCTCACGGAACTACGATTTTATTCATCAGAACATACATATTTATGTGTAGGAAGGAAACTACACCATTTCCTGTTGTTTTATATTTTGTCAGCCAAAATAATTTCACTTTGTTTCGCCTAAATTCAATCCACTAAATTCAAGACTGGGAAGTACCAAAGTTTCTTAAAATAGTTCCAAACAGTGGAACATATGGTGACAATCATTCCGAGCTTACTTAATTAGAAAGCATTGCCATCGAGAATACAAGCTTAATGTGTTCCTATTCTTGCAGTATTTTGTGACTCCTGTTCCTATTTCCTGGCTGGGATAAGCACGCTACTAAAATTCATTTTCAATCCTACAACCTGCCTTAACTCCGCCTAATAGGTTATTCATGATCAAGAACTCGGCTTGAAATTGAGAGTTTGTGTTCAACTTTTGATTAATTAATAACGAGGAGAAAGACATGTCTGTTGTACTTAACTGTGTTGCTCGCAATAAAAATTTTACAACTTAAAACGGGCAAACCTCTCAAACAAGGAAAATGAAAGCGAATGGGAACTTATATAAGCTACGTTTCAGAAATACGCAGTAAATTGTTTTAGTTGAGTGAAAAAACTAGATTTATGTCACACAAGTACACATATATCACAGAAGAAACGACGAAGTATTGCCTTATAGGCTCTGACTTATAGTTATATAAACTGTCAACCTTGATCTTGTCTATGCATATTTAAAATGTGATATTTTTAGACATTTCTACTCATGGCTGCTGACTGTTTGCATTTCCTTGGATGATATGAAGTAGCTCGAGCACCCTTCTGCTCACAATCAGTCGGAGACCCTTTGGGTATATGTGAAAGGTTTCATGATAAACTCCACATGGTGGGCATAAAACTTTCAGTTTCAAAAATCAAATAAGCTCAGGAAAATGGAAATGCAAACAAGACGGGGAAACGCAATGTGAGTCGTGTGGCAAGTCTGCTAATAAAAAACTTGGTGAGTCAAATCAGTTGAGCTCCACGTTTTCATTTTCTTTTTATGCGCTTTAAACTCCAACTTTTGTAACATAGTCGTATCCTATGAAATGCATTCTTCCAAAAAATGTCACTGTCGTTGGCAGACAAATATTTCAAAACGTAGTAACTAAATATATGAGGTAATACATAAATTGGTGGTGAAATAATTGTCACTGAATTATCATTGTCCGCGCTGAAATATTAGCTTCCAAAATTTCCATCAACTCTGGGATAACAAAGATAAATATATAAATATTGGTTGGATAAATGACTGTCGCTGTTATATATTTATTTGTAGAGCTGGCAGCAAATTGGAAATGGAATGGGGAGGCTTTTTTGCTTTAATGAAGGGAAGGGAGTGACCAAAACCCATTAATCAAGAAAAACAAAGGTAGACAAAAGGAGGAGAAAGAAAGTTATCTACTGGCGTTCTCTCTTTCTAATTTGGTTCGTTCGAAGTTGGATGGTTGATGGGAATGAGGAAAGGCTCCAGAATTCTGCCAGCGAGGAAGAGGAAGGCACGAGAAAGTTAATCTGCGGAAAATAAATGTCAGGACAGGAGGTAAGAAAATGCAAGGCCAGACTAACAAAGCCAACTAAAACTAATCCAAAATTTTAGGAAACCTTCCTCGTTTATATCAACAAATATTCAAGATGCAGAAGAACTAACGAAGGTGCTACGAACTCAGCGTGTAACGGGCTTGGTGAATGATATGTCAATGTCGAGCTACAAAATGTCTCTGGCCACCTCACCGGATGGATACCAATTAACTGGGAAGTACAGGATGTTGTTGTTTGACTTGTGCTTGGTTAAGAGAAAGTTATAATGAAGTCGACTTTTTACCCAACCAAGACGAGTTTCATTTCTGCCCATACTCACAGTTTCTGGATTGCAGGCGACGGTTTTGGTCAGGTTTAACTTTGCTAATTAAGCTCTGATAACCAAGTAGATAAGTATGGCATCAATAAGCATAGAAAAGTATTCGTCAAAATTGAATATCCGATAAATGAGTATTGCATCTAAAAAACGATATTTTTCCGGTGAGTTCGATGCGAACGTGCTTACCTTGTCCTCCGCTTCATTTGCCCTGCTCTCCGCCTCCACTACCTGTTTAAATAATGGAACAACAAATTGACAGATTAATCATTGTCCAGGAACTTTAATTTTGTCCTTGGTTGAGAGTTTTCTCGCTCCAAACGAATAGGCTCCTCAGGAATTTGAATAATGATAAATGGTAAATCTTACCCGTCGCTCCAGCTCAGCCAACTGAAAGTTAAATAAAATCATTAGTTAACAGAATAATATATTTGATATTTTTAATTTCAGTTTATTATACCAAACGACGCGAATAATATGGGTGACTTAAACTAGAGTTTGAGTTTGCATATTTTTCAAGAGAAAAATCCTTAATTTATTTATTCAGTGTCGAGATTTACATTGCAATAAAAAATAGCACAAATTTTTTAAGATGTCATCTGATCATTTATCCAGTTGACAAAATACGAAACTTCTGTGCTGACACCAGGTCTTCCAGGAAGGGCGCAACCATCTTGCAAAAATATGAACCGTTAATAATTTAATCTTTCTTATCCATAAATTGCCACGTGGAAATTAATTGGAATGACTCACATCCCCAGCTAATCAAACCAGCCAAATACCCAGTGTTGACGGAAACCAATGGTCCTAATACGATTTATTTTTCATTAGTTAGATTTAGTTAGATAATTGGCTGACTGGATAGAAGCTATTTCTCAGCTAACCACCATCGTCTCCTTGACACGAATCTCGTCCTCCTTGAGGAAATCCTGCACACAACATGCTTGGCAAGATGACCTCTTCGGGATAATTCCCCTGACAGGTGGCATCATCCACAACGGGGAGTTCGACCCACTGCAAGATATTTGAGAGACTTCCACTCGGAGTGGTGATGCCCCAGCCTGAGATAATTATTTCGCCAGACGTCTGTTGCTCTTGAATTGGGAGAGCAATTGGTTGTACAAATTCGTTCAAAACTAAGGGAACTGTGTCGCTCAAGAAGAGGAGGGCAATATCGTTTGCTAAATCGGAAGGGACGCCATAGGATTCATGGACAACAATTCGGACGACTTGAACCGTTTGTTCGTGACCTGAGACTGAAGCACGGTCAAGCTCGCCAGCAATGATTTGAAGATTTCTCGGAGGAACTCCAACGACGCAGTGAGCTAAGGATTTTACATGCCATCATTTTTTACTTGTATGCATATGTGTATTTAAAAATACGCGTATTTCTAAATTGGATCTTTCAAAGTCACGGTATTTTACCAGCAGTAATTACAACATTTGATGCAAGAATAGAACCACTGCAAATGTAGCTTCCCGCATGAAGCAAGACAATCTGGTAAGGAAATTGACCTTCCGCAGCATCTTGTCCCCCAATGATGCGTCCACCCCCTGGAATCTTGCGTGAAGATCGAGAGAAAGCTGCATAGTATTGAAACTATTATTCACTTCTTTGTATTTCCCTAAATTAATTGCACTGTCGACGTACCGAAGGAAGAGGCTGCAAGGCCGAGAAATAATACTGCCAGGACTTTCATGACGATGGAATAATATTGATGGTAGAGTTTATGAGCGAAAGAATCACGTCCGACACAAACCATGGAATTCGACTTGTGAAACCATGAAGTGCTGGCGATTATCACTGACCATTCGTCGTATTTATGTACATGTATTATGTAACCTTTTTAGCTGCTGGAGGTGATTGATATTTTACTGATTTATATACTGATATTTTGCTGTATTTGTATCGAGCTCGAGTTGATAACTACTTATGTGTGTGATAGACATTATTTAAATAAGGTTACTAAACTGTGGCATGAAGATAAGATTATACGGATTGGGTTGTGATGCAGTTCGTGACATATGCACATATATGAAGGTGACCCACACCACCATACCTAGAAAATTAGATTAATTTTTCATAACATCGGATAGTAAATGTCGCATAAGTGGACATAAACACGTTGGTTTTATTACACGCACATTTTATTTTATTTCGTTTTATCTCTTGGCATACTTTATTCTAGCCACGGTGTCGTTATTATAATTAACCCAAAAATGTCGCATACGTATTGACACAATGTTTCATGCATTCATGTTTGAACTTCAATCTTCATCAATACTAATTCCCTCTCGTGACTGTGAGTCTTGATCCCTCGTTTATCAATTGAAGTAACTGATGAAAGGAAGAGAAATCGTGGTGTAAGGCCACGGGGACCATGATAACTTGCGATATTTCCCTACTTGGTGTAGGAGGCGGAGTATGTAAGTCATGTCAATATTGAACTATTCAACACTATGCTGCTTTCAACTCCACTTTGCTTTCTTTTGAGCACTTCTGTGCATCTCTTACACTACGTCGTCGTACATACATGATGCGAGAGAGTCTGCTTTCCCAGCAGTCATTCAACCTCGCTGGGTAATATACCATAAATCGAAGTAAGTAGCCCGGTATGGTAGATTGGGAAGCACATTTCTGCACATTATGGCTTGTCCCAAGCACCACGTAAAACGATGACTCATACATCGGGACAAGTCCATCACATGAAAACCCGGGAGTGCGAAGGGGGGTTTGGGTAAGGCCTTCCCCTTCTAGACTAATAGCGAATGATGACGATGATATGTACCACTGCTGAGCGCTGACTGAGAGTAATTGCAAGACACCCTACAACATCATCCCCTTTAGACAGACAGTCACCAAAAGATATGCTCCGTCCTCAGACCCCGATCATGTGTAAAACAGGAGGAACGCCAAGTTAACACCAATAGTGAAAATGCTCCCAGTTTTATGTCAATCGCTCCAGGGAAGGGTGGAACTGGACTTGCTTGGAAGAAGTAAATGACAGGCACAAGTATACATACACAGACCAAATATATGTATTGCAGGAGGGAGAGATTTGTTGGTAATCAATACTTCATAGCCTGGTGACGGACGTCGACGGATTTCTACTTTCCCATTTCGATACAGCAGCGTGATAACAAATTGAAATAAACCTTCTTATCTCGTACATTTGCCAAGCTGGCTTAGATATTTTATCAACAAATATACAGCGCCACTTTTTACAAATTAGGCAAGCGCAAAACCAATAAATTATAAGACATTTCCTGTCACAAAAGCAAGGAATGCCTGGGCACACATGTAAAACCAGAAAAATGTTGTTTCTCATTAATGAAACATATTAAATACGAATGAATAATACATTACTCCAGCAACCCGCAGAGCAGAGAATAATAAGTATGTACACACGAGTACATCTAATCTGATGGTATTTTCATAATATGGATCGCGTGGTGTTTCTTATTTTGCGTACAAAGTATTCAACACATCATTTATTTTAATTTTGCAAAAAAATGTTGCACCATTTTATTAAATACGAACATACAAACACACTCCTACGCTGAAATTGGAACACCAAGCGGGGTTCCATACAGTTGTGTTTTTGTGCAGAAACCAACAGCAATTTTTGGAGGATTTGTTCTTATCTGCATTATTATCTACCTATACATGCTTTTTTGTTCTGCTGCTGCTTTGGAGGTGGCAACGAACGGGAGGACCTAGAGAGTCCGAGACAGCCAAGGTTTTGAGCATGATGCACGACGGAAATATATCACGAGATGGATTACTATGCTTTTTGCCTGTTTTCCAAAATGTATTACACACAGCACACACACTCCTTCTTCACCTCGAAATATTAAATCTCACAACATATTGCTTTCGTGGAAGAATGCGAGTGGAAAGAAAGTTATGGCTAAGTTATAACCGACACTTTGTATTAATGACTTCTCCGGCAGCGGTTTCCTCCTTTCTCTCCTCGTCCAGGCCTCCAGCAGAAACTAGCAATTGTTCTATTATATTTTATGGGATAGCTCTAATTTCGAGGTTTCTTGTGCATGTTCGTTAATCAGGAAATTAAACTCCACCAATAACACCAAGTTATGCTGCACTGGTCAAATATAACATTCGCAATTACCACTGCCGTCTGACTTGTCAAACGGCAGTGGCAATTAGTGAGAAACCAGTTCCAGAGGAAAAGTGTAACGCCTTTTTTAAACTGAAGTAGCAGAAGTCTAGGCAAAAACGGAGTAGGCACTTACTTATAAAAAAAACTTTTAGGCTTATGTACATTTGTTTGCCAGGGTTCAACTTCGTCTCAAGTTGACTTTCTCCAGTGGAGCAAAAAGAGTACAAAAAATGGTGCGGTGGTGCAGTTGATGTGAGCAAGCAAGCATTGCACAAGGAATTATGTATGAATGAACATGTGTGCGAGTTGAGGATCCAATCTCGCTGTATGCTGCCTTTGGAAAAGCTTAATGGAAATAAAGACGAAAAATTGTCGATCCTCAAAATAAATAGAGACGAAACCTTTTTACTTTTTTTTGTGAAAATATCACACAAAGTTGATTCTTATCCCCCTCACAATTCTTCAATGAAGATAAAGTCACGCGAGGCAGGAGTAGGCCAGCGAGATGACTTATATGGTGCAATATAAACATCAAACATCAATAACATTTTCTCATAAAGGAAGCAAAGCAATTTTACGGCAGAAGAAGGGAATACTTTCCGCACACTGCAAGTTTATTCCCATACAACTACTCATCAAAGTAAAGGATAATCAAGCGGGTAATAGTGTAGCAAAAATTATATACATAATATGTGTGTTACAGCAGCAATACAATGTTTTGCAGCAACCATGAACATAAAAAACCAACTTGCATAAGCCATCAAAGTTCATTTGTTATACTGTTTTATAGCGAACAAGTAGTGGATTGCAGAGTGTACAATCAAAGTTTATGTGTATACAGCAATTGCAATCGGCCATGAATTTGCCACTGCACAGATAGCTGCTGCTGGGACATTTCAGATGCTATCATTTCTTGGGGCGAGTAGATGACGCGGTGCAAATTCCAGCCGACAAATCCCTTCTCCTCTAATCTTTACCTCTCGTTTGCAAATGCGTGCAAAAATGAATTTGCTATGGCACTGTGCAGAACCAAAGTCCAAGGGTTACTAGGTTTGAGCATAAAACATTTTGCACTCCTCAAGTCGGAAGTAAGTTGATTAAGAAAAGTTTATGTTCCCAGAGGAAAATTGCTCAGAGTCCTGACTAAAGAAAAAGGCAAGTGAATTTCTCCACAACGAGTAGTAAGTTGGTCAAAAAAGTAGCACAACGTGTAAACTTTGACCTTGCAAGTATCACTGGTCGAGCGAAAATAGCTTCCGTTGGTTCTAAAACTTTCAAAATGAATGTCGTGCTTCAAAATTTAATGCAATTTTATTTAAAGCACACGGGAATTTATTGCAACTATGTGATTTGATGGTTGAGTAAGTAATTAGTTGTTACTTTGATTGGTGGTAACCACAACCAATTAGCGGAAAAGTGATTGTTTTGGGAGGTTCTTTCATTTTCGCGTGCACTTTGACAGGAGTCAAAGTGCAAAATTGTGCAGTGTGATACGCCATGTGCAGTCATGCTTAATCTGGAACTTGGGAGGAATACCTATCGTACATAGATTGCATTCAAATGCACAAAGTAGCAAAAGTTTTTCACGTCATGCTATCTAAATCATCACTATAGAACCACACACAAGCAATCCAAGTCATTCAAGGCTTGAGTGGGTATTCACTCAGAGGAATAAAGCAAAAGTTGGATGAAGGGAGGTCGGAATGAATTTATGAGTTTGAGTTCTATTACTTTACTTGGTCAGAACTATTCTTAATGTGAGTCAGCACGAGTATCACAACCTCGGCAAACTCGTTCAGTGTTGAGAATGATACGTCTGGATAGGTGGTCGTAATGGAGACCCAGAAGTAGAAACATCGGGCAGAGCGAACAGAGTAATAAAATGCAGTGGGTGTTGGATACTCAATCTTAAAAGCTGTTACCGTGTACCATCAGAACTAAGCGTGCTTTAAATCTCACTTATAATTTATACAGTATTCGCAAAAGCAATATATATACCCTTCGGTAGAGAAAGTAATACAAGGATAGAATTGCAACCCAAAAGTAAAAACTTATTTAAACAAATGCATTGGCCAATTCATGTTTAGTGTGAGAACTAACTCCAAAATAGGAAAAAACCTGGCTGGCTCTCTATCTCTCCACCGTCTCTCTTTGAGAAGCAGAACAGAAAAAAGTTTTTAGTTCAATGGAACATAGTTGAAAGTATTTCTTTAAACCAAGTTGGTGGTCACCCGTTGTGATTTCTTTGCGGGCGGACGAATATCGTTCTTTCGACCTGGAAATGGTGATATGAAAAGCGAAGGAATGCTGTAGTGAGCAGAAGAAAATGTTGCAAAATATTCATTTCATTACAGTGTGGGCTGAGATTTTTGTGTCCCACGAAAAAAAAACATAGTTTAGCTCACACCAGCATAATTCCGTCCTAGCGTAGATGAGGAGGGACAGCATGACTTTATCGAATCTGTGTAGGCAGAGAGGGAAAGGTAATAGTGGTGGCAGTGGCAGTGGTGTCAGTTGGGCAGGAAGCCACACTTTCACATTGGGCGATATTATTATTATGCATACATGTGTAGTAAGAGTCGAGCATCAAGCGAGTGTGAGTGGATGAGATAAAGGATGAGAGGAGAAAGAAAGAACTGGTGGAGAATTGGACTGGAGAAGGAAGAACTGCTGTCGCAATATCTACACATTTCCGTATCGATCTCACCAACTCTGGTTTCTTGGGTTTGAATATC